CCGCCCTTTCAGCGCCTATAACAATGTGACGGTCAATCCCACTATTCGTTGGTAAAAGAGTAGCCCAAGAGTCGGCGGTGGGTGGTGATGACTAGCTGCCTTCCCTCTAGTCTTACACTGCTAAATTAGGGACGGCTAGCGCAGATGGCCCTCATGTAGCTTTGCGCGAAATTCAAAACAAACAAATAAACGTACTTTTGTGAGGAAATGGAAAATATAATTTCGCTAAAAATTACAATGCCATGACTAGCCTTCTTTCGTAACTCCACACGTTAGGTAGTATTCTAAGTATCTGAATTAGATAATATGAAGTATCTGGAAAAAAAACGTTTGATTCTTCTGGAAACAATATCCGCCTGAAAGTTTTAGTACTACCAAAAATCATAAAATATAATTGACATCAGAATCAAGCACATGGTAGAAATTAGAAACGCGAATATTGTGGGGAAAACGATAAAAACACAGCCAGATTTATGAAAAAATTATCACATTAGTAATTAATCAATCAAAAAAATGTCGAATCAATAGTTGATTTCCATATTTACCAGGACTAGTTAGTTAAGTCACCAACTTAAAACTTTTTACCTGTATTTTTAGTGATTCGCAGCTCACTATTAGCAATAATAATTACATTTCCATGTGGAGGCACTACGAATTTTATAAAGTGCCGAGGAAGCTAGGAAGTTAAGTTATGCGATGTAGGTTAACCCAGTGTGACTTCAAACAAGTTATCTTCGTGTTGGTCAGATAAAATTCAACAAACCACGAATGTAAATGAAGAACGAAGCCAATTTAACTCTATACGTTTCATTCATAATACATTTAAACGTGTAAAACATTCTGAACTACTAAATAACTGTTTACCATTGCCAGAAAATTACACAGTTTTTAATTAGGTGTCTAAACCCTTTTCATAAAAGCTGAAAGGAAGAGATACAGTCTTCGTATTGTTGCGTCAGCGAGGTCACGTGACTAGTATCACGCCACCCGTTTTCTAGTAATATCCTGTTCCTTCAAGAATGCCCTAGCATTTACTAGATATGTGTTAGTCTTGTATATATATAAGACGGTCACAACGTGACTGGACAACAGTGCAATGAGTAATTGAATGTATGGGAATAAAATATTGTTGGCCACGTGACACGTGAGTGTTTGCTATAGAGCGACTGTTGAAATTAAGTGAATCGTAAAGTTATATTCAGAAAGAATAAACCAGTTTTATTTAAGAAAGGACTTGTGTCGCTAAAGTTTCGTTGGAACGAAGTTACGGAAAATTAACTAACTGGAGGCGTAACAGTATTGTTGACGTAAAACACATATTTAACGACAGTGAATTGAACCATTGGTTACAAACGCCTTCCAGGATTGGTTATATGATATTCTTCATCCAAGCAACACAAAATTTGGTAAACACCGAGTCAACTGCTCCTTACTGTATTTCACTTTACAAAGAGTAGTTTGTCGTCTCCATTTTTATCGTGATATTTACGCCATCACACGAGTCCTTCACATGCGTTCAAGTTGTTCGATGTTCCAAAGAATCCCACTGGTTGTAAAAAAAACTTAATATTAGTTTTTGTTTGTTTGAAGTTAAGCACAAAGCTACGCAATGGGCTATCTGTGCTCTGCCCACCACGGGTATCGAAACCCGGTTTCTAGCGTTGTAAGTCTGCAGACATACCGCTGTGCCACAACTATTTTACTTCATTATTCGGCTTATTGTATCTTTAAATATATACGGGTTTTTTTACACGGAAGTAAATACAATATATTATAACCAGGAAAAAAAAAGGTTCCGGAGCTCTACTCTACTCGTCTATTTTCTACAGCCTTTTCGAGTTGTTACTCTTATTCCACCCCATGATCATCCCAGTCGAACAATCGGTCTCACCACTAGATGGCAGTAATACATTTGATGAAATGAACTATAAATAAAACCATTCGATCTTATCAGAAAAAGCGATTTTTGTTAGTCTTATTTGTTTTTGTTGCTCATTTATTAAATAGTACGGGTTTGCCGTTCCAGCACGTTCCGCCAAAAAAAAAAAAAAAGTACTGATTGTAACTGAAAACTGGATGCGTCCTGCATACATGATTAGGTATTCATTCCACATCTCACGTTCTGTGAAGGTTGGTTAACAAGCTAGTATTACATATAAGTCGCCAGAAATCAACAGATTTAGAACACACAAAACAAGTCGCGTTCATTCAATACACGCTACACTCGTCAAGAAAGAGTGATGAAAGGATGACTAGGGGTGGAGGGGAGGGGAACTAGAAATAAATTCCCATGTCACATACGGGAAAATAATTAGCAAAACAATGTTTACAGTATGTGTGTTTTTGTTGGTTTGGTGCAAATGTACACAATGAGCTATCTGCGCTCTGGCCACCGCGGGGTATCGAACACCGGATTTTAGCATAATAAGTCCGTAAGCTGCTTACCACTGACTGACCCATTGAGGGACCTGTACACAATATTTTGAATCGATCGTTAGGGAATATTTACAATGGTAAAAAGGTGTGTTAATAACACGGTAACATAGCATTTCAATCATCAATCGGCTGTTCACATAACTCGAAATGTCCAAACCATCTTGGATTAAAAACGAAAATATATATACACACACACAGCAGCAGCAACGATCATAACATGAATCATCAATCTGAGGGTTGTAAATCAACACATAAAACCGTGACACACCCTTTTCATCTATTTTTACTATTAAATTTGCACCTTGTAGTGAGTAAAAACTTGCTCATATTTGACCAAAATTATACTCGGGTCAAGGGAATTTATCATTCATGTTCCCATGTAGGGAATCTTAATATACAGTCCTTGTATCAGCAGCAGACAGGAGTCTTCCTTGTAACCAGTTCCAAGGCTGCTCGGATTTTTCCTTCAAACAAAAGAGTAGAACGTCCCCTCCACGAACTACGAGCTGGCAGATGTTTGATGTAGATTTCGTGGAAAAACGATGACTGAGGGGTATTAGGTTAATAATGCTAAATAAAAACACGAGGCGATAATTACCCATCATGCTTCAGTCTAAGTTATTATTATATTTGATACAGGCGTGGAACTATCATTCCGAGAGATGAACAGGTATTTAGATGTAATAAGCGATAATTTAAGATGCTAATCATAGCTAGAAAATTCTAATATGAAGGTATACATAATATCATGTAACGCCTTTTAAATCCGAGATAACTACTAGATTACGCATAAAAATAAAAGTCGTGTATCTACCCCAAAATATTTCTCACAACAAGGTGTCTCAATCAGGGTTAGACGCCTAAGAAAATAGTGGGTGGACTGTATAAGGTTTCCCAACACGGAGATAAATAGCAAAATTAAACCCCTCCAAAACTACTGTTAAAGACAGATAACAATGCAAATAGGAGCATGAAAAATGGGGATTCCGGAAAACCAATGAGTGGTCGGCGTCCACTCCGTAGTACAGCACTGATTTCAGTTATTTTTTAGCCGCGTTTGCGCTAAAGCTCGCCATCTTTCGTTGAAAACTACGGTCAACCACAATTTAGAAGATGGATAACCGTAGAGATGATTTTAATAGCGTCGTAAACATTTTGCGGTTACAAATGTCATCAACTTTTCTGGTAATAAAATTAAAGTATAGTTACATTATGAAGTTTTGGGAATATTGTAGTTCACACAGACACAATCGTAGCTCAATTAGTGGTATTTTTATCTTAAAAACAGGACTAACAAAGATATTTAAAAATCAATAACACTGTTATAGCATTAAACAAATTTTACAACTATGTAACTCGATTACTTTTCAAATTCAAGCAACAAATTTCAAGGCATCTTAAGATTAGAATTTGAAGGTGAGTTTTGGAAGGGAATGTGTATGTGTGTGTGTTTGCCCCTGAAGACGAAAAGTCCACCTTTCGAAAGCGCTCTGGTTATAGGGTTTTTATTCATTTCTATCAAGACTTCTTGAACCTACGTCTTTTTCTAACATCTTGAATGTATGTATATATATAGTTCTAATACTTTCAGTTACATTAATTGTCAATGGGCGATTAAATCAGCACTCTAAAACAATAATAAACTTAATATAAAACAAATATTACAATAGAACTAAGATTAAACAATCATTTTCCATTATCAGTCCCAGTTGTGAACATTAAGTCATAATGTCTGTTATCATAGCGCCTAAATGCGTTGGAGATATTCCATCTATCAGACAAAATCTAGAAGCTGATGTCAAACTAGCCAGCAGCTGTTGAAAATCAGTTGAGGTTTAGAAGTTAAATGTTTACACCCACAACGTCTCAACTCCTATTGCCTTTCGCTGCGTGCAGCCAGTTGTGGGAAGGCAGTCACCTTTAACACTTAGATACAACCTTAAAGTAGAAATAAAACCACCCTAAAAATTCAGAATTTTGTCTGATAGATGGAATATCCCCAACGTATTTAGGCGCTATGACCGTAGACATTATGACTTAATATTGACAACTAGGACTGATAATGGAAAATGATTGTTTAATTTTAGTTCTGTTGTAATATTTGTTATATATACAGAAAAACCATGTAAATACTAATAATGGCTGGAGACGGCTTGAATGGGTAATGAAGAAAAACTTTAATATAACAGCAAATGTACAACGTTTCGTGGTACCTGATGATGACAAAACCT